GCCATCTAAAGTAAAGAAATCAAGTAATGAAATTTACTCAATTATTATATTAGTGAATTATTTAGAATTATAAAATAATTATACGCAGATGAGTGAATAAATAAAAAGATTAGTAATGAAGTGATAAAAGATTAATGATATATAAAAAACTAATTATGAACTGTTAAATCTAATATATTTTTTTCTCAGTTAATAATAGCCTTTTCTGTTGCACATCGACCAAAGTTTTCTGGTGAATACATTTCTTCCGCTTTCGCTGGTGGTATTATAAATGTTCCAGCACATGTTCCACGCATAACATAACTCCATTGATAAACACCAGGCCATAATAATGATCGAAATGCTTCAGCACGTTCATCTCGTAAATTTTCATGATCAGTCCAACCAATAATTGAATGTGGTTGACATTCATAATAATAATTGCTTCGATTTGATCTTGTTACTGATGAGTGTGTATCACCTGTCAATGTACCTTTTAATTCTGTATTTAATGGTTCACAACCAGCTGGTAAATAATCAACTAATGCTATATGATATCGTCGTTGTGTTGTTGTCATTGTTAATATGACTTTGATCTTTTCATTTAATTTGAATTTCCATGTACCATCAGATTGTTTTTGAACATGTGATGGATCATCGATAGCGATGTATGTTCTTTCAATTTTAAAACCATAGTTAACTGCACTTAATTGTAGATTTGATGGAGCATAATTCAATGCAATACGATAATATAATCGACCATTACCATCTTTTTGCATGATTAGATTCTTATCACTATTATTGATATTTGTGTTGGATGATGATGGCGACAAGATTGCTTTCATTGGAATATTTACCGTATATGTATTTGTTGTTCGACCTTGAGATTAAGAAATTAAAAACTTTAGATTATGTCTATGATTACATTCACAATGTTAGTAATAGATTCCTCATTGTTCTGCTTACCTTTATATTGATGTTGACCACAATAATCATTGTCCAGCCAAATATTAGCAACAAAATCTGGTGTATCTTTTTCTTTTATACGAAAATATTTATCTAATGCAATTAATACAAAACAATTTTCCTGTGTTGATTTCCATGCACCTTTGACTTTATGTGCTTGTAAACCTTTACATAATTTAGTACAAAGAGATGATTGTGGATCAATATATAATAATGCTTCTAATAAAATGGCATCTGTTCGTTGATTTGAATGTAACATAACTGATTGACCATCATCACCATATGATGTAATAAAATTTGCTGTTTCACTTGTTTCATTTATTTTACCTTTTAAATGTTTATATATTGTTTCAATTAATTGATCTGTCTTATTATTCTTCTCAGTAGATAATGCAACTAATAGCCATCCTAATGCTTCTAAACTAAGTTTATTAAATCCACTTCGTGTAAATAATTCTAATGCTTGATTCGCTACATTTTGAGACTGTTTTGCTCGTACATATAATGCATAACTAATCAAACTAAATCGAGTTTTTTCAGACCAATATTTCGTGTATGATAATTGATCAATTTCAGATTCAATATTTGCAAGATAATTCAATGCATTGTCCAGCATAGACATGTCAACATCACACACCTATAAAATAATATAATAAGTTCTTAATAAAATGTTTGATCATCATGAATTATTTTCATTCTTACTTGTTTGTTCATAACAACAACTAAACAATGTGCAACATGCACACTCATAAATGGATCAGCATAAGAATCACTTCGATTTGTCCAATAACCAAATCCACCATTAAGATATTGACGACCTTTTAATGTTTTCATATCTGATTGTAACTTCGTTTTCATTACCAATATATCCGGTAAATCTTTACATTGAAATGCTTGCAACACATCCCATAATGATAGTATACCTAATAATCTTGAACTTAATTGTTCTGTACATTCATATGGATATGCATAGAGTGAAATAATTGCATCTGTTAATGAAGCTAATGCTGTTGAACTTGTTGATATTGATAATTCACCAAATTGTGGAATAACATTTTCTGGTGTTTTTATTGGTTGTAAAACAACTTCTTCTTCACCTATATCACCATATGTTGCAAACGCTTCTGATGTTGCTGGTGTAAAGACAGGTACACTTAGTTCGATTGCATCACCAAATGATATCTGTTTTTCATTTGCTGCAGTACTGACTATGAACTGAAATCGAGCTGTACCTGAATTGATTGTTGTTACTGGAAATGTAAGAGTAGCTCGTTTACTTGGTTGTAGTACAATTGAATAACCCATGACTAGTTGATTTGTTTGTGATGTTAATAATTTAACATTTGTTGCTCTCAAACCGGCATGTAATAATACTGATAGATCAGTTTGATTTTGTAAAATTACAGAAATATGAGCTGTATCTCCATAATTAAGAAATCTTGGTGGTGAAGGTCGAATCATAATTGGTAGTTGTACAGTAAATGATATTTCACCTAAACCATATTGTTTATCAGTTGTGGCTACGGCCCATACACGATAGCGTGTAAGATTATCAGGTAATTTAAATTCAAATGAAACATGTCCTGATGAATTAGTAATTGATGATGGTATCCAACATGCTAATGGATTGAAATTTGATCGAACAGCAATTTTTTGTTCAGGAGCAGCACCACCAAAACCTCTGTAAGAGCAATCGTCTGCCATAGTCATACAGCACTCCATTTCCATTGATCTCATAGCGTATTGTGCGCAGGGTAGATATTCAGCTTGCCTTTCTTGAATATTTTTCTTAAACTGCTCTATGTCTTGCATATTGAATAATAAACAACGGTTTCTACCATGATATTGTGTAATATTTGCTGGTCGATTAGGATAAAATATATCTAATGGACTAGTTAATTTATAATCAGTTAACGATAAAATTGCCTCATCAACAACAATTAGACAAACTTCAGCTTTATTCACAGGTACTTTATCTGTATATTGTGTAACATCGACATCGATTTGAATCATTGATGATGGTGTATATATTTTATTTGGTCCTTTTGTCTTCACTGAAATATCTAGTTTATAGATATCTCTTGACACTTCTAATGTTACTGAACCAACGGCAATTGCTGGACGATTTGGTGAATCAACTCCTGCTACTTCTCTTGGAACAGAACCTGTCAGTTCAACATGAACAGTAAATCCTGGTATCCAATCTTTTGATATTTTAAATTGAACAGTTGTTGAATCTTTTCCTGGTTCAACCTGGAATTGTATTGGTTGTGAGATTTGACCTTCACAATCGAACATCAACAGACCATTAGCTGGACTGAATGGTGTTAAGATCAGTAATTCACATGTATCATCTGGTTGATAATTTGTTGCATTTGGTATAATTGTCAATGTATCCGTCGGAATATATTCTACCTTTTGTTTTTCCATTTCTTGTCCATAACCACCAGCAATATAAAAATTATCATAAAAACTCATAGTTAATCGTCCTTGTTCATCTTTGACAGTATATGATATATTGTATATGCCTCCTAGTATTAAATAAAATTTAGAAAGTGTTGTAAGAATAAAACACATTGATCACTTCTCAAATTGGAAAATAGTGTTTTCTCGTAGGCTAAAATCTTCGCTATATGTATACATCTGTCATTTATCATTCATCATATTTAGAGACGTTCATTTCTGTATCACTATTGACTAAACTATAGAATAAAGATGTGCGTATTATGAAAGTTCAGATTCTCATCCAAATCTACCTTCTGTAAGTATTAGAGAAAATAAACTTCTATATATATTCTATAGTTGTAACTCTGTAAACTGATTTATTCGAAATTCTATTTTTTTACCTAATGTTGGTGTAAAATTTATGTTGATTGCATCTTTATTTGAACTAAGACTGGTTATATGTTGTTCGTCTTTTATTTCTTCAAATACAATTAGACCATTCTCATCTTCTTTTCTTTGTTTACCAATACCAACTATTTTACATTCAATGGAAATATTATCAATTAAATTTCCATCAATATCTGTAACAATGACTTTTGTTTGTACAATTTGATTTTTCTTGCCATAATTGTTGACTACTTGAAATCCAACATAATATGTGCATGGATGAATGATAAATTGTGTTTGTGTTTCCTGTGTTTGATTATTTAAATCAGTAATGGCTGCTAATGCACGCATCATTGTTGGTCTTGGTTCTTTTTCAATTCCATGATAAGTAATTTTTATTTCATGCGTGCCTTTATTATTTGTTTTACCCTAAAAATAAAGAAATGAACTGCTTGACCAAATACTTCCTATGCTGATCAGAAGTATATGAAACCGTGATTGATTGAAACACTGGAGAATACTTTTATATTCTTTCGCCTTACTGCACAAGATTGAAACTATATTCAAACGTTTCACTTTTCGAATCTTGGTGCTATTTCAATTATTTCAGAACTATATTTTTGGTCAAACTTTATGCGCATTTTCATGTTTTCTCTAAGTTTTGAAGGCTCATCATTCTCAACCTGCTGAGTAACTCTCATCCAATATACTTGTCTTGTATAGATAGTAGTTTTTTTGATTATATTTCATGATATTCGTTTCTTCATACATTCTTTACTAATACTTCAGAAATATCAATATGTATTTAGAAGTTGCATATCTCTGGAGAATATATTTTCTCATTCTCAACCTCAGAATGCTTTAAAAAAGCACTGAAGCTAGTACATCACTATTTGTCTCTAATTTAATATTCTTATATTGTATTTAAAGAAAATTCATATTACTTGAAAAGACTTTTCTGGATAGATTATTTTGTTATCATTACTACCAAACCAGCAAAAGAACGGTTGTCCTCTTCCAAATATATAATCAGATCTTCCAGCTGGTGTAAATGTTGTTGTTTCAGCTTGTACTGTCCATTGAACATTGGCATCACTTAAATAATCACCAGTAAATAATTTTCCTTGACAAGTAACTATAACGTATTCATCATTAGTTGGATGACAATAATGTACGGTTGATGGTCGAGTCATTGATGATACTTCATATTCTGGTCTACGAAACTCTTGAATTTTGAATTGATGTGTTGTTTCGCCTTGTGTATTTGGTAAACTCAATCTAACCGATGCATCACCTAGCAATTATATAAACTTAAAATTGATGATCTTCTATGTATTGATAAATTTTGGCAAGAATAATCTTTTGAGAAACTATATACATACATAATAGTATGTTTTCTAGGATTTACAGATATGAACCCTTCTCAAATCTTTCTATCTAGCATTTGATGAGTTTCATTCTTATCTAAGATGGGAAGAGCAACAAGTATAAACACACAACTTTACCTAAGTTCACATTATCAGGTAATGTGAATTTTATATCAAATGCACCATAATTATTCAATTCAACTTTTGATTGTTGAAGTTGTTCACCACGAGGATCATAAACTGTATAATCAATAACACCTTGAACATAAGTTGGTAATTTTGCATCGCCTTTTACTTCTAATAATCGAACATATCCTTTAATATGCACATCTTCCTTTGGTTTATATAAACCTCGATCATTAAATACATGCCAAACATAAGCATTAAGATTTGATGCATAAGAATAAATATCTACTAGCATACATAGATCATCATCTTTTTGTACGATTAATATTTTATTTTGTGTGTTTTCTCCTTCATCATTCTCAGACTTATACATTGGAATAGTGCATAATCCTTGATGATTTGTCTCGTTTTTCTTGTTCAATACTGAAACAGTTGCTTGATTGACAGGTGCACCAGTCATTAAGTCAGTAACCCATGCAGTTAATTTGACATCTTTACCTATAATAAAATAATGTATATGCAGTCAATACGATTCCACTCGAGAAAATTTCAACAATTAAGATGCATTTGTAACTAGTCGAATGATGATAAGCGATGATCATCAAATCAGATATATAACTGATATAAGTTGAAATGCTGTATCGCGCAATCCCTGCAGGATTAAAATGTGAAACATGATATATCTATTGTTACTAATTCTCCAAAAAGTCGTCTTTTTATGTATATCCGGGTATACTTTGGCATTATTTCTTACTTTAGAGCATAGAACTTCGACAAAGAAATACTCCAGAGATAGTTTACCTAGACTTAGATTATACATGACGTCTGATAGTACCTTGAAGACGTCTGTCATCATATGTAACGATCTCCAGACTCCGATTCTCACGCCCTATGATGGTTGATGGTCTCGAGAGTCTGTCTGTCATGGTCCGTGATGGATAATTAATTAATTAAGATATCTGTCACGATCTGTGATAGCCAATTAATTAGTTAAAGAGTTGTTACTTAATTAATTATCTAATTAATTAACATATCGGTCACGGTCTGTCGGGAGAGGAGTAGTGGGTCCAAATTTCTATCCTAAACACTTCAATACTCTTTTAAATCGTATTTTACAAAATAGATAACATCGACATATACATTGACTGCCGAAATCAGAGAATAACATAAGTTCAGCAAAAAATTTTCTTCATTAGGGACAAGTAAGACATTAATGAAACTGTAAGTATGGATGAGAAGTTATTATTATCAACAAAATAATAATAACAAACAAAGTTATTGTTATTCCTGACAAAAAATAAATAACAATAACGTTTCACTCCTAATTATAATTATGACTGCAGTAGTAAACATGGATAGTGAGTAATATTTGAAAGTGTGATAATATAAAAAGAACTCGTAGTATTTGTATTGTTTCGTATTTATATATCATTTGCAATATGTTCAAACAATCTAATTGTCATTCGATGATTATCATATTCAGCAAAAATAGCAACATGATACAAACACTAGTGATCTGTAATTACCTGAAGAAACGAATACATCAACTGCTAATCGAGTACATTGTAGCCAGGCTGATATGATTGGTTTACGTTGCCAATGGTTATGTTGACATTCATTCCATGCCTTTTCTGTTGGTTCAATAAAGACAATTAATTGTCCTACACCCGAGTTTTCTGCTAAATATGCTTTTAAAGGAACTTTCATCTCTTTTGGTTCATCACGTTCACAATTGGTTTGTACAACTTTATTTAACAACTCTTCTCCAGGTAATTGACGATACGATTCTTCTTCTCCATGTATGTAGGAATACTGCTGAAAACAAGGTAAATTTGAATGATAATGTTCTGGTTTGACTCGATTAATACGCAGTGTTATTTCTGAATAATTATAAACCATAAATGGATAGAATGGTTCATCCAATACACCAGGATCCATTACAATTAGGCCTATAACAAACTTCTCTTTCTATTTCTAATTAATATCTTTTGTCATATGAGACGAAATTGCATTTTATGATAACTATTTTTACGTACCTGTAGCACCAGATATATCGCCAAGTAATGGTGGTGAATCATGTACGTGAAATTGAATTGGTTGTTCAGAATGATCATGTTCTAATGTTTGACCATGAATATCTTTCAATGTTCCTGATTGTATGACCAGTGTATAAACAGTATTTGGTTTAGAATTATTATGTATTGTTATTTGTCGATCATTGTATTCTGTATGCTCAACACCTAAAATAACTTTTCCTTTAAATAATGTTTTTTGCATATCAACATATTTTGTTAGTGAACTATTAAAAAGATTTTTGTCAAAACTTACCAAAACCGTTAACTTCTGGTTCGACTTTGAATAATGATTTATTAATTGTTGAATGATCCAACGAATTATTGAATGTCAACGACCAACTATAACCAGGACCAGTAGATGGTTGGTATGTATTATTTGTATTTGGAAACCAATCAATGATTCTTAGAGGTTCATAAGTTTGAAAACTAGCTGACCACTCTGATGTTGTCACTAATGGACCTTCGGCTGATGGACAGCCTACAGGCAAGCGTATTGTATATTGTGTTGCTTTTAATAAATCATTTTTAAATGTAAATGCAACATATTTCTCATGATTTCCTTCACTAGCATCTATATATGATTTAAACTCATTTTTTGCTGTGGCTTCATCTACTAGTTCTAATTTGTCGTTTGGTATTTCATGTTCATCACTGCTCATTACACGTAGATGCTTCAAAATTTTACTCGAATCAATGTTTTGATCAAATAATAGAAAACATTTTGGTTTCAATGTTGAAACTGTGCCGTATGGTGAGAATTGAAGAACATTTGGTGTTGTTGTTGAAAATTCGTACAACAGTTCATCTGCTAACTTTCCTAAAAACAATCAGGACATCATAAATGACTTACAAATATGACACTAGTCGAACATATTGTTTTATAGCGATAGAAAACTCTTTTTGTTGAGTCTCAGTGGTACGTCAATTTCGAAAAAAAACAGAAAATCACAAAGCATATCTTGATAATGGGCAGTTAGTTTGAATGTGCACCAGGTGCATCAAGAGACGTTTAATATTATGATAAAATGATAACCGACAAAACTGAAACTTCTTATCCAAGAAGAAGCTATTAAGAAAATGCATACATAACATTTTAAAAAAGAGGTGTAGAATACCCTTATGTCATTCCACATAAGCACTATGCTAATATTTATGCTTTAAGTTAGATTTACCTCCGATTGCTGATACACAATGTTCTTTGTTGACTTTCAATGTATATTTTGTTGAATATGGTAAACGATGTTTTGGTTCAAATTGAACTGTTTTCGTTCCTGTCCATCTCCATCGACCTTCTAATTTTGGTGTTAATGATATACCACGATCTTCTATATTCATTTTTTCATCTAATGATGAAACAGCAATCATTGGTTGATTAAATGTTATTGTAACAGTTGCTAATGGATAATCAATTTGCGTTTCGTTAGGAGAATATCTTTCGATGATTAATGGACCTGCTTCTTGTTTAGCTAATTGTTTCAATTGTTCGATATCAATATCGAAATCTTCTTTACGATCTTCTAAAGGCGGTGGAAATGGTGTTTGTATTACTTTACTTGTTTTTGGTGCTTTAATTGTTGCTTCACGTTTGAAAAACTCTTGCTCATCCATCGATTCTGCAACCAATTCAGAACTAGCTCGAATGAATAACTGCTGTAATTGATCTGTAGTTAAGTTCTGTTGTTGTTGTTGTGAATCATCATTCAATGGTGCCACGCCAGCATCAGTTGTAGTTTGATCATCCATTTCATTTGCTTCGGCAATATTAAAATGGAACTGATGGGGTTCAGACTGTTCATCTTCAACCATTTGATTTTGAACCTGTCCTATTCTTACCATGGTATCAGGACGATAGAATGAAAATATAGCAGAACTGTAATATAATCTACAAAGAACAGTTTTAAATTTGATAAATGTTACAACAATAAGAAGCAAGAGTGGTCATGTGAGAGCGGTATGCCTATTGGCATATATGGTTCTACGGATACATTGGTAAGGATTTACGACTAAAAAGATATTTGGAAAATATAATTTCAAGAATATATACCTCTGAACAAAAGTCTTTCTCGCCTTTTCTTCGTTTTATTTTTGTATAGCCATATTGCATATTGAGTTTATTATCGAGTGGAGGCATGCCTTTCATAAATGTAGTTTCTCTCTCTCTTGTGTCATCTGCTGATTGAAATAACCCAATTGTATGAAATAAACACTGATCTGTAAAACATGAATATATAGTATAACTTCCTTTTCTCGACTTTTCTCGTTCGCAACATTACACCATGCATCTCTCTTTATCACAACGCTATGAAATTCTGTTTTTTAAAAGTCATCTACTTGGTCCTTAAATGTCAAACAAGGCCGTATTGAAACACATTAGTTGTTCGCCAAGGGCTGTACAATACTGGCTTGGACGCTGGAAGAAAAATAAATATCTGTCTGATTCATCTCGAAATGGTCGACCACGCGCCACATCGAAGAAAAATAATTCAAAAATCGTTAAAATTGCTAAAGATGTGCAGAATGTTACATCAGCTGAGATCTCCAACATCTTGAAGAAGAGTGATGTTAACATAAGTTCACGCATTGTAAAACGTCGCTTACGAGAGAGTGGTGAAACATATAGACGACCTTTGAAGAAACCCTTAATCAAGGAAATTCATTGAAAGAATAGACTTCTGTGGGCACAACAAAATGAGCATCACGACTAGGACAATGTGAGTTTTTTCTGATGAGAAGACTTTTGAGCTTGGTAATAGCGAAAGAAAAGTACGGCGGCTTCCAGATGTCACCAAGTTTGTTCGCACAGTCGAGCATCCTATCAAGTTACACGTATTGGGTTGCTGCTCAAAACAAGGTTTTGTTCGACTTACTGGCTTCGATCAGAATTTGACTGGTAATTTAATGTACGATCCTTACGAGGACGGTTTGTTACCCACCGCTGAAGATCAATTTCCTGAAGGTCTCACAAGCTGGTTTCCACAAGAGAATAATGATCCCAAGCATAGATGCCGTTTAGCGGTCGAGTGAAAATGTGATAATGGAATTCAAGTTCTACCATGACTATCCACATCACCCAATCAGAATCCAATCGAAGACGTTTGGTCGACCATGAAAGACATCATAAGCAAAAAAACAATTCGAACAACTCGTAAATTCGCAATGTTTGATTGAAACAAATGGAGATTATACATCATATTAAAGTAAATCATGAAGATCATGCCTCTACATGATAATAAACTTAATATCAAATACTGTAGCGAAAGATGAATAGAGAGGGGAGGGAAAGACTTTTGTCCACAGGTGTAAATATAACTATAAAGTCGTAAGAGTGTAGTTTTAAAAGTGTCATTATCAGAACTACAATTACATGTACACATAGAAAAAAAGGTATAAAACCAATGCGAATGAACTTATTTACTGTAATGACGTTGTAACGGTACATTCGTCTATGGTCATAAAAAAAACGAATAACAAGAGGGTAGGTGTAAGTATGAATAAATTATAAATGTATCACACTCACACTCACACTCAATCTCAAGTCAGAGATTATGAAGTGTTAATTTCTTTTACAGAGAGAATATGAAATAAAGCAATCGCTTTGTTCAGTGAAAAACTAATTTGTAACAAGTAATGAAAGCACTGATTGGATCAGTGCATGTCGATTTTGGTTGATTATAATTGATTCTACCTGATTCTTAATCAATCCGTACTCGTATAAAATTAGCTATAATCAATTGTAATCGGTTAACAAACGAACATTTACATGAGCAGCTCGTGTGCTTACCAAGAAAGTAAAAATATTTTAGAAAGAAGAATTCAAACAAACTTTCGTCGAAATCAGTATATAAGTGATCATTGCAACGACCGATAACATTTAATAGAATAACATATAAAATGTCTTGTCATTTTTCCATTATTATTTAGTCTAGTCAGAAGTTTTGGTCAGTCCTAAATACTAAATTTATAAAAATAAGAATGTTTTCTAAAGATAATACGATTGGAGTATATAATAACATCAGGTAATATCTGATATATATAATATGTATTGATGACGTCATTCATTCTCGTAAGGACGTTGTGACATGAGAGAAGATTTTCTTATATAGTGAATTTATTCAAAATTCGACAAAATAATTCGACGAATAATGCATGAAGTATTACCCATTGATGTCATTTCCACTCAATAAGCAAGTGTGAAAGCATTCTGGTTATTTTTTGATTGTATCGTTGTATATAATGTTTCAAAAAAGTATCGTGTGATGGTGCAATTTTTTCTTGTTTATATGCGACTATAAGCGTGGAATAATGATTGCAAAAATGGAAATTGCATAAAAACAAATCTATAACACATTACTTGTTTTTTTACGAGCTATTACATTCTGTGCAAGTTATTTTTTGCGTTCTGCCTTGATAGTTATGTATACTCAGAATACACATTGCTCTGAAGATTTCTTATAAACGAGCAGTGAGAAGAAGAAAAAAAGTGACAAATGAAAAACATTTTAAGACGAGAAAAGATATGAAACAGATGTCACCGACGACCAGTGTGACGATAGGCACAATTCGCTTACAACATATTATCCTTGTACGATGTTATCAGTTTTAGATGTCACCCTCGCATAATATAACTCTTCCGCGATATAACCTTCTTAGCTGATGAACTCTTATCCTTGTTTTATGTTCTAATATCTTTCTCACTTTCTCTTGTGTAATCTCGAATGTTCTTGTTTGGCCTCGTAATATCTTTCTCATTTTCTACTATGTAACCTCGAACGTTCTATGTAGATATTTGTATCTTCTCTTCTATTGTGTAATCGAGTAATCTGTCGTAACAAATGTATAAGGATGTGTAACAAGAAAAGAAAGACAACTGGATAATGTAGTAGTGTAGTTAACATTGTACACTGAGAATAGCGGTAATGCTATTCTTCCAGTTCGTCAGTGTGATCACAATAAAATAAATGCTGCAGCAGTAACGAAATAAATAAACCATCCATGTCATTTATTTTTCGTTACAACCAGCATTTTCAGTGGTATAATAATGTATACATGGCTTCTTCTTTATGCGATTGTGGATAAGGTCTACAAGTCAGAGGTGAATGAGAAATAATATTGATAACATGATGAATAGGTGTTTTGGCAATGTTATGTTTAGTTATATCGAAAATATGAGTATAACATATTAGCAAGGAATATAGATCATGATTTTGTTCGTCATTCTCCACTTTATTAACTAACATATTAATATATTCTACAACTATGGGATTAACTGATTGTATTGTATTACAAAATGGATTTTTAGTTCGATATTGCAAGTCATTACTATTCTGAGGAAATGTATTACAAGAATTATATGATTTACTAGAGATGTCATCTGCTGTTAAATCAAAGGGTGCTGGAATCACATCGGAATAGCTGACGGCTCTAAATGATTGATACCGAGATGACGTGAAGACTCGAGAACATTGAAAGATAGAATGACAAATTAAATGCCCCACACACACGCCTTTTCTAACAATTTGAGGATACAGCGAAGTATTAGATAACATAACTTTAGAGCAATAGTTGTGAAGAGTTAGATATGGATATGTAAGTGTTATAGAATTATGATGTTGTAAAGGAGAATGAGGAATAAATGATGAACAAATAGGTGATACGAGAATTAAGATCTGTGTTGTTCGATTAGAATTAGGAGGAATAAATATTGTTTAAGAAGAAGTAACAGGAATTTTAATTGATTCGAAGTCTTTATCAATGGACATTGTATAAATATGATTTTTATATTTGATAGAAACAATTTGTTGTTTAATTTCAATATTGAGATTGTACATATTAATATAGTCTGTATCAAGGATCATATCCGTATATAGATTTTGTGCAATATGAACTTCAATTTTTATTATAGAATTAGAAAATCGAATTCATAGATGAATGAGTCCAAATACTTGAAAATGAGCAACTCCATCGGTTAAGACAAATACATCTGGTCGTTTACGGATATGATGAAGATGTGTCATGTGATGTAAAGTTTTTTCGCTAATAAATGTTGTGGTTGCTCCGATATCAATTAATGTTTTTTGTTTTATAGTTATTTACTAATGTGGTGATGAAAATTAAAGAGAACTTAGATGGTTTTTTATTATTCGATCCCAAATCAACACTACCGTTCGATGACTTCCGAGTTAGAAATTTGGATAGGCCGAAGCCTCATGTCCAGATTGATTACAGTGCGTACATACAACAGATGAAGAAGGTTCTTCTATTAAATCAGTAATGTTTAATGAATCGGATGGAAAAATTATATTTGCTGTACGTAGATGTGGTTTATTAATATTTGAAGAGTGATTTTTATATCGTTTTATATGATTTTGATTATAATTATCAGTAGTATTAGGTGATGCTTTGTACTTATTCGTTTGAAATCGTTGTTTAAAATCTGTTGTTCTTGTTTGAGGATATTAAGATGAACGAAAGGAATTAGATGTAAATGTAGATGATAAAGGATTAGATCGAAAATTTCGATTATTATACCCATTATAGTTATTATTAAATTTTTGAGAATATCCAAGTGTAAAATTAGTCAAAAATTGGTTTGCTGAATAAGTATTAGTTGATGATGGTGTATTAGTTATTGAAGAAAATTGTTAATATTGAGATGTGAGAGATAACTAATTTGAATTACTACCAATATTAATATCAAATAATTGAAAACGTTCTTCAGCCTCGTTAGCATTTTCAAGAGATTCAGCCGTCGATGTCGGTTTTTTTCTTATGAACTTCATATTGTGTACTTGGTTTGGTTTCATTCAAAAGATTTTTTAATTTTGTAGCTTCGCTTATAGTTGAGTCAGTTTCATGATAAAGTTTTAATACTTCGTTAAAAAAATTAAGAATAGCTTGATTTTCTCCTTGTGTATAAGTTTCTAGTCGTTTAAAAGCTAATTCTTCACAAAACAAAGAAGTAAAAGCTTTTTTAATTTCGTATAGAAAATTTTTTCAGGTAGTTAATATAAATTTATTGCTTTTATACCATTGTAGAGCATCGTATCGCAATGAATAAGAAATTATATCTAATCAATCCGAATCAGAAATATGTGCAACTTCCAAAAGATGTTAGATCTTCTCCATTCATTTTCTTACATCATCTTTGCCACTTTTAAGTACTTTCTGATTTTTTATTAAATCTCCTACAATAGTTCTACGAAGATCACTAATTGTTTCATCAAGCAAAATTGTCGAAGAACTAGAATTATTCATTGTTGATTTTATGTCTGATGTCTCACCAATGATATTGATGACACCAAAATCAACCTTAGCAGTTGAATTAAATGTAGGTGTTTGACGTGAAATATTAATAGTATCGGAAAAATATGTTGTATTTTCAGTTTGATTATCAATAGTTTTATTTGAAATTGATGAATATGGTTTAGAAAAATCATTATTGACTACTTGAGGTGGATTTGGTGAAGATATAGACGTATCAATTATATCAAATTGTAACAAAAGAAATTCATAAAAGTCATCAAAAGATAGAATTTGCTTACGATTTTTAATGTATTTACGTTTAGCATCATCTTCAACTAGAAGTGGAATAGCTTCAAAATATAAATTACGAGAAATTCTTAACTGATTAAATGTGTTTTCGGTTTCATCTAACCATTGAATTACATTCTGTTTTCCTGAAAACGGAACAAAATTTTGTAAAACGAAATTATCAAAACTATCACTGTCTTGAGTTTCTTCTGGATGAAAATGATTATCTCCTTCGTTGATAACATCGAATTGTGTAGTATCATGAGTTCATTTATTAGCTGTATTGGATGAATGGTGGAGCACTAGATTTATTTATGAATTTACAGTCGTTATTATTAGATTTATTGCAATAATCAACTTTATCAACAATTTTAACGACATCAGAAGTTTTTAATTGTTGATTTTTTTGAAATTGTAGAAATGTCAATCTATGAATTGACATTTTTGTCAGATTCATATCCATCATTCCTTAAAATAAGTTTTTGTTTTGAAGTTTGTTGTTCCTTTACATTATTCATTATATTAAATCCTTGTATATTTTTTGATCGATAAGGTGTAAGCATTATTGATTTACGACGGTCGTCTTTATTATAATTCGGTAGGATAAATTCCAAATTTTTTTTTTGATGCTAAAATTGAATTATCAAATGTAGTTCGTTGATTTAAGGAACTAAGTGATGAAGATTTTCTAATGGAAGATTTATGATTATTGTTATTCATTTAATCTTTACTGTACCTTAATGTTTTATAATTACGATAATCAGACCACACGCAAAGAACACAACAGAAAAAAAATTTCTTTTTTTGTTAAAATCAGGCGGTTACGGCGATAGAGATAGAAAAAATAGAAAAAAAAGCATAATAGTATATAAAGAAAACAAAAATAGACAATTTATTTGCCTAACGTCTTTACCAATTATGACCGTCTCGATTGGGTGTAGCTAATGTATTGAATAGAAATAATAATAATGTTTATTTTATAATAAATAAACACTTAACAATTAATAATGATGTTAATAATATCAACAATAATAAGAATAAATGAAAATATGGAAAAAATAATAATAATAATAGAAAAACTAATAACAACAACAGAACAGAATGAGATGATGCAATAACATATATATATGAGTCATGAGAGTCAGCTATAACAAAATGAACAATAGAAAAAAATCGAAGAGGAATAAATAACTGATAATACATGATTATAAGTTTAACGTCAATGAGAAGCATCTTTTGACGCTAACAACACTGCATATGGTATCAATTATTGGTGATTTCTGCGCCATTTGATCATTCTTCAACTAACATCATAATGATAAAAATTTCGATAAGAACTGTTTTTATGTACAACTTGAATGTAACATTAGAGCACATTATTATTCATGTATATTCCCTTTTTGTTTTTTTTTTCTTTGTTCTTTTCTTCTCTTTTCCTTCATCTGTTTTTTTTTCTCGTCTCTTCTAATACCTAGCCGTCCATACATATTTGAGCGTAAAAAAAAAGTAAAGCTCTTAGAACAGAAAAGAAATACAGAAACAAATTCAACAAGTTTTTATTCCATCAAATGTTCAAAATAATCACCTTGGTTATTCATACACAATTGCATTGTTGAATCCATTTATCGAAGGTTTTTCTATACTCTTCTTTGTTCAAAGAGTACATAAACTGGATTACAACATCATGCAATGATTTTGCATCGTTTTCATTGCTTAGATTCTGTTTAATTAAATCGAATAATCAAAGCTCACATGGTGTCAGATCAGGAGAATTATGTGAATGCGGTATTATTGCGATACCCTGCGATTCAAGGTAATTGAACACATCTTTATGTATCTATTGTCTTCAATTATCGTAGTGAAGTTTAATACCACGGATGCCAAATTAGAGTCTTTGATGTTTGATTTCGTTGACGAGAGGTTGCAATCAATTGTTGATATAATACTGGTGGTCGATAGTTTGTTCCCGTTCCACATGATGAATCTGAACGGGACCAGTTGGCTTAAAAAAGATGGAAATTAAGGTTCTTGCAGCAAATTTACTGCATCGAACCACGATGAGTGAAGGATTTCCTCTTGCCACTCATGCAGTATCTGGTGATTTTCGACCAATTTGTTTATGATAAAACCAAGACCCATCACCTATCACTACATCACATAAGTTCACTAAATCATTTAGACTATCTTTCAACTGTTCTAAGAGAAGAAACTTGATCACCATGAACAGAATATAATTCATCATGAACGACGCTTGGTTGAATGTTAAGTGCGATACTCACTTTAATGTAGGAGCGAACGTTTTTCGTATTCATCTGAAACACGCGAACAGTTTTAAATTTAAATCTAACTTTATTTTTTTGACTTTGTCGAAGATGCACGAATAAACTATACATACACACAAAACAAGCAAGACACATGTCTTAATATATATGTATGTATGGACTGTTAGGCATTAGAAGAGACGAGAAGAACAAAGAAAAAAATAAAAAAAGAGAATACATATGGATGATAATATGATCTAATGTTATAGTCAAGGATTACACAAATACAGTTCTCATTGAAATTTTATTATTATAAATATAAGTTGAAGAGTGATCAAATAGCACAGAAAAATAGACCATCGTTTTCTCTATCATCACATAAAAAAAAAGAAAATTTCTTCAAGCATTCTATACGAAAATAAAATAGTGGCGCTACTACTTGTGGATTACCTTATGTATATATATGTATTGAACTAAAAGTATTTATAGGTTATCTAGACTTCTAAAAAAATATATTATTTGTCAGGCTTAGTTAGTTCTTTATGGTAGCAGTACCATATATGCGGTAAATAGTGGAATCCGATTGTTTGTTATCCCATATCATAAGAATTATTCTATGAAAATTTAACCTTGCTCATAGATAAAATTTTGAATTTTTTTCCTTTTATAAAAATAAAATCAAAATTGAGTTGCATCAAAATTTAAAGTTCACCTCAGAGTCTTATAATTCGTTTATGACGTCTGAATCTGTACAGCAGCATAGTAAACAACGAAAAACAAAAGATTATATTCAATGCATCATAAACAATAATGACGTTACTTCGACGTTAGATGTAATAAATACAGAATTCTGTTTTAATTGTTTGGGTTTTACCCCATTTCATATGATCAGTATGTAACAACGTATTAAAACGTCTCACAGAAAGGAAAAGAAAAAGAATTCACGAGAGACGAAATGAACATAAATGCAATATTTGGGTGTATCCGATAGAACGAAAGCAAAAGCTATCATTAGTAACGTACTGATATTTTTTTTCTTTCTTTTCTTCTTATGATAAAATCAAATATATTATGTTACAATATGCAAAACATTAGTGTAATGATTACACATGCATCAGCAGTAACATCTACATATATCAACCAATCACTGCAGCGGCACAAACATTCTCAAAGAAAGTAATGAAAAGTAAGTTACATAGAGATATATGTGAGTATGCAAATAAATACATATAGCAATTTATATTTGCATCTGTATTTATTTATGACAATATATATCGATATAGAGATACAATGGAACACTGAAGCTAATGTGGGAGTTAAAACTGGTCGAGCTATAACCATCAATCATAGTTATAACTATCAACCATTTTAACTCAATTAACTTTTCGATTTTTGGAGTAGATTCAATTAAGTTCAAATAGTTATTATTTTGATTTCATTGATATGTTTGATTTGTGGAGGTCTGAAAAACTGGATTTGTAAAGAAAATCCTAAGCACACTATTGTTATCCTCCCCCCCCCTAATTTCAAGCTTTTTTGACTTGTATTCGACGATTTTCGATTAGAATAATCCCCACTTGTCTTCAAAGAAATATCATATTTGGAATCAGCACAAAGATTAGAATTGATCTATATATGTTTCCAACTTTTTCTTCGACTTTTTTTTTCAGTCAAAGTTTCATATCTGGTCTCCCTCATGGATATATGAAAAAAAGATTTTCATCGAAACAACTATTTTATTGATTCACCATTTTTTCATATATCCCTAAGGGGAACCAAGGAGTAAAAATTTGACCGAAAAAAAAGTCGAAGAAAAACTTTGGAACATATATAGGTCAATTCCAATCTTTATGCTGATTCCAAATATGATATTTTTTTGAATACAAATTCGGATTATTTCAATCGAACATCTTGGAATATAAGTGAAAAAAGCTAGAAATTATAGAGGAAAAATAGTGTACTTAGGATTTTATTTAGGGCTCATTTTTTTACACCTTCACAAATAGCTAATTTTGTAGAGCTTGAAAAGATCTATCGGGTGGTATATAAGACAAATTGGGTGCTAGTTGATCTTATGAAAAATCAAGTACATAATTGTAATTCATATAAGATAAAATCTTTTTTTTTCATATATAGTCATGTTATTGTTTAACAATTTTGACTTATGGGCTCACCTTTATAAATTCTGAAAAATAGCTAGTTCTGTAGAGCTTGAAAAGTTCTATCGAATGGTATATAAGACAAATTGGGTGCTAGTTGATTTTATGAAAAATTGAATACATAATTATAATTGATATATGATGTATATGAAATATAAGGTCATAGTGTAGGCAAGGAAGGATCCATATTTTATCTGTCAACAATGAAAATTGTATTCTAAACGAATGACTTTATCAAAAAGATGTAGCTTGACGAAAAATCTGTCAAAAAAACTTTGAGTTAATATTCATCTTTAGTTTTCTTTCTTCAAACAGTTCATTTACGAAAACATCAAATCTAGCATCAAAATAATCAGAAGGCTTTAGTCTATCGATTTATATGATTCGATTAATTTTAGTAACCAAAATCAAAAGTAACTAAAGTGCATTTTTATGTGCCCCCGTCTTTTAAGGCATGACATAAAAATAAAATAAGTGCAAACAAACTAGACTATTTTCTTTTTCTTTTCTTTTATATTAGTCATCGATAGTGATATAGAAAAGGATTGAATCCCTATCTAGCTATTACTATTACAGTCTTGTTTTTCGGTATCACTATCAATGACTAATATAAAAGAAAAGAAAACGAAAATAGCCTAGGTTGTTTGTACTTATTTTTATTTTTATGTCATGCCTTAAATTTATTATGTGATGAAGTATCTCATCGAGATACGAAATATCATTAATTTTTAATAAATTATTAATTATTAATTTGAATAAAATAAAATAAGAGAAGAGAATTAACTTATGTTAAATATCTATTCAACCTTTTTTACAACATATGAAGAATAGTATTTGAAAAACAGTAACTGCTTTATTCTATTTCTTATTCTCTAAAATAGTAATGATTTTCAATATATGTTGTGAGGTAATAGATAACGCTCTGTGTGTATAATCACATATATTTTATTTAAAGATGAAATAATTATATCTAGTTTTTCCCGTTCATTCGTGAACTTCCATTACTACTGTTATCACAATGTAAGCTTCCCTACTGTTTTCGTTCT